GACACTGAAGGTGCATCACTATTCTGCTAAGTTTCAATTTAAACAAGTATGCCTGCTATAGTAGTAAAAATTAGACTTAACCGCACTTAAACAACTTTTAAATTGTTGATAATTCTACAACAATTGCATGCAGATTAAGGCATAAAAACCTTAACCCGAAGATAAAAACAATATAATTCAGTCATTTTTAAATCACAAAATGCAGAATTTACCAACATATAAAAATAAAAACAACTGAGCTCACAGTGCCGAATAACAAAGTGGGGTCGCTAACGATAATTACTTGATTTGTTGATTATTTTTTTCATTGTTTATTCCCCTTTTCATTTTCAATTTATTCATGTTTCATATTTGATGTTTCACTTTAAAAAAAAATTTCAAGATTCATTCTTTAAATATGCTTATAATTTACTTCATTCCACTAAAATTCTACTGCCTTTCTAAAAAGGTGTAATATAATAAATTAGTAAATAAATTATTTTATTACTTTGCAGCTTCATCTTTCTATACTTTGGTGCGACCGATTGCAACTAAAAGGGGAGGTGCACAACTACATGTTATATCAGCTCTGTATACAAAATTTCAACTTTTTGAGTCTACTCGTTTTTGAATTATGCGAGATATATACCTAGGTACAGACATCACGAAAAATTCTCTTCTAAATAGATTTTAAATCCTTTTTGCAACCCCTTTTGGGAAAAAGAGTCCTTTATTCTGTCCGCACGTGCAGATGTCACGCGAAAATCTCTTTCAATTACATTTGATAGCGGTCAAAATGGATATTTTAGTTAAAATATGAAACCCGAAAATTTTGGCGATTACAATAATTTCTTTACTTCCTACAAGAAAGTAATAATATGAGAAGATGAGAGGAAGTTTAAAATTGTAATATCCCTTACTTGGTTAGCATTCTGACTCAAAATACAAATTATATGTACAATATAATTCGTATTTTATTAATACAAGAAAACTTTTGTTATGTTCAGGCAAAAAGTATAAAATTTGCTAATTAAGATACAATAACACGCCGAACAAATACTAATTCAGAAGTCAAACAACAAAAAATCAGCGTTTTGAAAATATAACGCTGGTTTTTGTTGTTTGACTTCTGAATTAATAAAATTTGCTATTAAAAGAGGCAGTCATTTCATTAAATTGAACCATTTCCGCCAAATTAAATTTACAAAGACTTGCTTTCAATTTATAAATGAAAATCTTTTCCGCTTAGTTATATTAACTGCTGCCATTTTACAAAACCGAATCTTACCGGCTGAATCCAAATAAAAATTTAAAATGAAACAGTCAACAGCCTCACGGACAAAAGGATTAATTCTTCGGGTATTTCTCGTATTTTAGTTTGTTTTCTGAGTAAGCAAATTTTAGTTTGTTTCTATTTCTATTTGTTATTGTTATTATTATCATTTCGAATAAAAATTACTGACTAATAACTGTCAGCAGGAAAACGAAAAATTAAGCCTAGTTGTTACGAGACTCTACCTGAATTATGTTCATTCAGTCGGTACTCCATTAAAAGAAACTTATAATCAAGTAATACGGGCAATCCACCCAATTAATTCACTTAAAACAGGCAATCCACCCAATTAATTCACTTAAAACAGGCAATCCACCTTAATGCAAAGTCATGGGGCATTTTTACTTCATTTATTCTAAACATAAAAAAAAAAAAAAGATACAATGTTGCCAAACCGTAAAACTTAATCTTTTAAGAAATTGCATAAATTGCATTTATACAATCGTTGAGTTGCTCGCGACACTAATTACTCTACTGAGAAACCTTTCGACAAGGTCGAGGGCAGAGAACTGCTTTATAGGATCTGACTTTTCAACGTTTTAATTATTAAAATGAAATGTTCCACACTTCATTTTTAATAATGAAGTCATTTTCAATTAAAATTGACTCTTGAATTACGCGGGGATTAAAGACGTCGGTTTATAGCGTAGTTTCAAATCTGTATTTTTACCTTTCTAAATATTTAATTACTAGCAGCTTGGCTTTAAATGTACCGGAAAAATGCCTAAAGGGAATACCAAACGTTAAATTTAAAAACTGCGCAGAGTTTTTAAATTTAACGTTCTCTTCAGAACAACTTTATCGGAAAAAAAAAAATTTCATATAACAAAATTACAATGAAATAAGCAATATCCCTTAATACAAATATTAGTTATCGTAATAAATAAATTAACCAACTTCCCGTTGTAAAATCTTAAGAATTCAAATGGTATAAGGGAAGTTAAGAATTTTCTTTCCCCAAAATAAACCATGCAATACTTTTTATATAATTAAAATTACATATAATTAAAACATAATATAAAAAAATACAATGAAATAAGCAAAAAAATCTCATCTTTTCAAGAGAAAACAGTCAGCAGTTAATGAATGAAAATCTGTTGCCAAAACCACATTTCACAAAGAATGAAACTATTCAAAATGATGCGATAAAATCGAAAAGATAAAATCTAAAAAAATCTGATTCAAATTTTGAAAAAATCGCTTCGACGTGCGACGACGACGAAGCTCATGTCTACGTGCACTTATATACCAAATTTCGTAGCCCTGGGTCTATTAGCTGACACGCAAAGCACGAACGAAAGGCACACAGTCTTTTTTTATTATTATATGTAGAGATTACTAATCTAGAAATGGCAATATTAAAAACAGATAAACATATATTTTAAATTTTAATGAATGTTTTACTCTGTATTCATGCGCAGATGTGAGTACTTTTCATATGCAGCTGTAAAAGACATGCGCATCGATACAGAAATCATAGGATTCCTGCATAAAAGATAAGTAAATACATGATTATTACGCGGTTGCCATAGCCTATATATAAATGATTCTATACAGTGAATCTATACATCTATACAATTTGACATAATAGCGGATTTGTTGCCAATCTAAAGAAACTAAGCTTCGCAACAGCAAAGATAACGCCTTTTAACTTCCTTGCACGAAGTAAAAAGGAAGTATTGTAATCGCGAAAACTTTCAAGCAGCATATTTCAACGAAAATATCCCATTTTGACCTCTTTCAAATGCAATTTAACGATGTATTTCCGTGATATATGTACGTAAGGACAGAATAAAACACTCTTTTCCTCCAAAAAAATTATAAAACTGCTTTAAAATGAATTCTAAAGAGAATTTTTCGTGGCGTCTGTACGAACGTATGTACGTATTTCGCATAACTCAAAAACGAGTCGCCTCAGAACGTTGAAATTTTGTACATAGGACTGCTATAACATGTAGATGTGCACCTCGTAGTTTGGTTGCAATCCGCCACACCAAACGTATATAAATATAATTATATATATATCCACTCTGTTACCCGGCTCAGTGATCTCAGTTTCTTTACTCGTATATGTTTGTAAATTGTACATTTTTTGCTTTAAAAATATGAAATGAATGAGAATTATGTTGTTTTTATCTTCCGGTTAAGGTTTTATGCCTTTAGTAAATGTCTATGCAATATTTTTAGAATTATCAACAATTTTAAAGTTGTTTAAGTTACGCTAAGCCTAATAATGTTTTTGATTGCTCTTGTTTACATTTGAAACAGCAAGATAGCGGATTTTTTGCCAATCTAGAGAAACTTAGCTTCGCAGCAACAAAGATAACGCCTTCATTTATTATTTAAATCATGCTTAATCCTTTCTAGAATTTTTTCGAGGAAATAAGCGTTCAAGGTTTACTTCGTAATTTTTAATACAGATATTTTGAGTTTTTATGCATTTTTGCCTTGTTGCGAAGTGAAAACTGAATTAATTGAATGAGAAATACTCAATCGTCTGTGAAAAAACTTTTTTGTTTCTTTTTGTTTTGTTTGCTTAATTTCTTTTATACATCGTTCTAGCTTTATTATAGTATTTGAATAGAACATGTGGCAACGATTTTCTTTAAATGATATAAATTTTGTGCATTCTGAGTTATAATATGAACGAAATATAATACTGTTAAGTGAACCTAGCGCCAGTGTGTCGCTATGGTAAACAAGTGAACTTTAAAGAATGCATTTATTCTATTATGGTTTATGCGGTGTCGGCGAAGTAGGTTTAATTCAATCTAATAAGTTTAAATGAAATGCAAGAAAAAATGCGTATAATTTGATATTCCGTACAAGGAAGTCATGTGGTGTACACATCAAATTTTTTTATTATTGCGAGTTAAATCATGTTTAATCCATTCCGGAATTTATGCGAGGAAATAAATGTTTGAGATTTACTTATTAATTTTTAATATAGATATTTTGAGTTTTTATGTATTTTTGCCTTGTCGGGAAGTGAGAACTGTATTAATTGAATGAGAAATACTCAATCGTCTGTGAAAAAGTGCTTCTATTTTGTTTTGTTTGCTTGATTTCTTTTATACTTCGTTTTAGATTTATTATAGTATTTGAATGGAACATGTGGCAACGGTTAGCTAATTCTATTCTTTAAATGATATAAGTTTTGTGCATTATGAGTTATAATATGAACGAAATATAAATACTGTTAAGTGAATCTAGCGCCAGAGTGTCGCTATAGTAAACAAATATAGTGAATTTTAAAGAGTACATTTATTCTATTGTGGTTTATGCGCTATCGAGGAAGCAGATTTAATTCAATCCAATAAGTTTAAATGAAATGCAAGAAATATGCGTATAATTTAATATTCCGTACAAAGAAGTCATGTGGTGTACACATCAGATTTCTTTTTTCTTTTCATTTAATATAGCGTCATCTGAAGTGTCCATTTTTATAACATATTTTTGTGTTATTTTGTTATGAAATTGAGTAATATCTGCATGCATTTCACAATAGCGGAATTAAAAAAATAGCATTTGCAAACTGCGTGACCTTTTCTTTATTATTTTTATTAAAGCATTTTCCAGTGTATCTTTTAAGGGGAAAATGTATTCAATTGAAGCCCCTGTATTTTACGAGGATAGCTCAACTTTATTTCGTTCAGTATTTCACTAGCGTTTCGTTTTTTATTTCTAGGTACCCGCGAGCAGGCTTTTGTGAGTAGCCTCGCTGCTGCTGGCTTAGCCATTGGAGTCGGACGCGCCTGCGCTGAAGGCCGAGTCAAAACTTGCGGATGTGGCCGTGTGGCCAGAGAACCTCCCTCAGCCGATTTCAAGTGGGGTGGTTGCAGCGACGATGTGGGATACGGAGTCAAAGCCGCGAAGGCTTTTTCCTCAGAACCCTTCGACAGGCACAAATTCAGGGCTGATGAAAGTGTACGCCTTCACAGGCACAACAGCAGAGCAGGATGGAGAGTAAGCTCTTGTTTCAAATTAATTAGAAATAATCAAACATTAAAGTTTACGTATCTTTAACATATTCATGGGCTGTCAGTCATCATCATTTTTGGATCTGAATTGTGCATCCATATGGGCCCGTAGTTGGGCAACCGGATTTATTCATGTAACAAACATATTTCTTCTTATCCGTTAGTGAAGAATCTCGCGGCTAATAATTAAGACAATTAAGTATGACGATCACTAATTTATTTATGAATTAACACATTAACACCAAGTCGGGCTACATTACCTGGCTACTTAAAGAGCTGCCTTAACATGATTCACAGCCTCCCTCGGACGACTGTGTCGGCGGGGCGCCAACCCGCAGGGACTTCTCATGTTCATCGCCACATGTTCACACTGAGGGCTGCGCGGGGAAGCCGTCCCCCCCTCCCGACACAGCACTTAATATCTACATGTGAGCGTCCCCACAGCGAAGGCAACAGACACGACAGCACCAGTACGGTCCATGCCAAGCCTGTGCCTGCCATAGGATGGACCTATGGTTCTAGTCCTGTGAAGTCTGATTATATACCCAAGAGACCGAAGCTGTCAGGACACAAGTCCAGTCAGTGGTCTGGGATAACCCCGGGTCTCCTCCCATAAATGATCGGTTCCGGAAATTCCCACCAGTCGATCCCCTGGGATCGTTTTTGCCCAGCGTCATTAGCCTATACGAGCCAGAGCCTGGGCCAAGGCTTCCAGTATAGTTTCCAGTTTAGTTTACGAGTATGCTGCAACCCTCCTAGCCGACAATAATCGGTCTCATGGTTAACGCAGCACACCCGACGCAGACAAACAACAACCAAAATAATAATAATAATAATAATGAAATAAATAAAAGATTAAAATATTCAAAGTCCTATTCCTGTGATAGTCTAGTTTTCATTCACAATCCTCATATTTTCTGTTGCATAGCTATTCAAGAATTTTCTTTTTTCAATTACATTCTGTTCATTTATTTTTCCAAATCTGGTCCTCACACTCTCGGTCAGTTTACATTCTTCCATAAAATGAGCTGCATTTCCGTACTTCCCACAAGCCAAGCATTGATCATTGCCCTGGAGATTAAAACGTTTTAAATAGGCCGGGAATCTACCATGATCCGTAATAACTTGAATAGTATCTATATTATTAAATAGATCCATTTTTCTTTTTATGATCAAAATCCTCAAGTAACCCTTATTTTTATTTGAACCATTCCATTCCCGAGCCCATTTCTCAATTATACTTGCTTTCATTTTTCTCCAGGTAATTCTTCTGGAATCATTAATAGCCTCATAACTATCACCCTCTCCCAGAGCAGAGTATAGTTTCCAATATAGTTTCCGTATAGTTTCCAGCGGGGTCACGTGGAGGCTGACGTTGAGCTGTGGGAGACGCTAGCAGGCGCACCTGAAGCCATTCCCACAGCTCCTGCCCATCGATCAAACGCCGGGTCTCCTGCCTTCCGCCACTCCCCCCCCGGGGGTTAACCTAGAGAATTCTGCGAAGCTACTGGCTAGGATCTGTACCTATGCAGTCTAGGCCACGGGAGTATAAAATTTATGAACTCGTTGGTTCTGAAGGCCCTGGGAAAGGTCACTTATTGGCCGGCCTCGGGGTCTGGCATGTCCTGAGCGGTGTGGAACCGTAGCCATAGGGCTAGTTCCCCTTGGTTTGCTGGGTAACGGCCCACTGCGATGGGCTCGCCCATGCGACTGGCAGGAGTAATTGACGACCAGTGCTGCCTGGTGTCATTTACAGGTGGTGCGCTGCTCCCCTGGAAGGGTAATAGTGGAGGTTGAACCTCCACGAAGTGCCTAAAGGGGGAGTGGACCCGTAATGTGATTTAGTTCACGAGGCGGGGCAGCCAAGATTGTTGCTGTTTTTGCTGCCTTCCGCCACTGCCTGCGACGATCTCCCGCGCACAGTTCACGCAGCCTACAGTGATTTCCAGCCGGTTCGGGACATTCAACCCCCGGATTAGGGAACCGGCAGTTCGGGCTTTGGATCAAACACCAGGTCTCCTCCCGCTGTGCGGCCGGTTCTGGATATTTGTCCTCGGGTCCGAACGCCACCCGCCATGAATTAACACACAAAAGAAATAATAAAAGTGAGAGAATATTTTAGCTACAGTGCTCGCGCGAATCATTCAAAGTTCCTAACTCTAAAATGGCCTATTAAAAAAGGGTGGTGTGTGGTGGTGGTGTATTTAATTATGGTAAAGCACACAAGGGCCATCTGCCTAACGGGAGGGATGCTTTCGTGGAGGACTTTCTAAAGGAAACTGGCTCGTATACACGTCACACATGGGGAAAACCACGAAAACGCCCATGCAGCCAGCCCGTTCGTGGGATTCGAACCTCGGACCGAACTACCAATGTTCAGCGACTTTACCGCTCGGCCGCTGGTGAGCCATAAAAGAAAAGGACTTTCAGTCACTGGTGACCGCTGTTGTACTGAATTTCTCCTACCTCCCATGTAACCGTTTTCACGTGCTGCAAATCCTCAAACAGCAACTTATCTCATCCAAAATAGCTGTCACTGTGTTGTTGGAGAGTGAAAATAATTGGCCACTTGAACTAGCCTGCACGGTCTAATCAAACACATACTCCGATTCTCTCCGGAAATGCCTAGCAGCAGTCGCCAACCATCAGCAACAATTTCGTACCTACATTCGTCCAAATCACTGAAGATACTTACTACTTTCAGCAGAGGCATCCGCTATTCAGCTAACTGAAAAGTCTCAGGTTCAATTCCCTGTGAAGGCATATTGGTTCATCAAAAATTCTACTTACAAGAAACTTGATGATTGCATTATAAACTGTAGAGACATTTGGTTTTTTGGAAGCAGGGGATGTGAAAAATGAGCAAACCTCACCGAGCGTGGTGACCACTACACCACGAAGGCATGCTGAGAAGGCTGAAAAAATACCTTTTAAATTACATAGGTTATTAATGTATATAGTTATCATTCAGTTACCAAATCAGTTAATAAATTTAATATACGTGCTCTGCTGAAAAGAATTGGTTATTAAGAATTTTTTAAAGCTTGCACTCGTCATTCTGTATTCGTTCTGGCATAGTATCAGCAGAATGAATTCATAAAGTATGAATATATTATTATTACATTAAATATATAAATACAAGGTGTTTATAAAGTCCCGAACCCATTTTGATGTTTAATAACTCATAAAATAATAAAGATAGATTAAAATGAATAACATAAATGGTTAGATAGATACCGTTTCATGACCCTTGTCAATGAACTTCCACGTGTGCCTTCTTTGTCACACGGAGAATATCAAGTCGATATTCAATTTCACGCCAGGTACCGGCAAGCATGTCAGCATTTAAGGCTATTGCGGTTGTAATTCTGGCTTTTAGATCATCCATCTTCGACACTCTCCTCCGGTAAACGTTGTCCTTTACAAATCCCTAAAGGAAAGAGTCCATAACATTGCCATGATTGCCAAAAACAAAAGAAAGAAAAAATGCAATTAATAAGCAGACGATATTTAGAAAAGTACAGATACTTAGACTGGAAAATGAAATTATCTGAAATTGACCACACGCGCAGACGATATTTACAAAAGTAAAGATATTCAAACCTGAAAAGGAAAATATAGAAGTTATTCCATCAATAAATGCCATAAGTTTGTTTATATCTTCATTATTTTATGAGTTATTAAACATCAAAATGGGTCCGGGACTTTATAAGCACCCTGTACATTGTAGTAATATTATTATATTATAGTTCTTCGAGAATTTCTAGCTCATAGAAATAAAGTAATCTTTCTGAAATACTTATGTTACGGGAATACTTATCTGAAACGGATAATTTTTTTGTGCAGTCTTGTTCTAGGCAAGAAAGTTATGTATCCTGTTTTCTCCTTGGGTTATTCGTATATTAATCAATTTAGTGTCAGGATTTCAAAAACTTTTAGTCAGCTGTATTTTTACTACCTTGTACGAAGTAAAAAGGAAGTATCGTTATTGCGAAAGGTTTCAGGCAGCATATTTCAACGAAAATATCCATTTTGACCGCTATCGAATGCAATTTAACGATGTTTTTGCGTGATATCTGTACGTAAGGACAGAATAAAAGACTCGTTTCCTCCAAAAAAATTATAAACTGCTTTAAAATGAATTCTGAAGAGAATTTTTCGTGGCGTCTGTACGAACGTATGTACGTACGTATCTCGCATAACTCAAAAACGAGTAGCCTCAGAACGTTGGAATTTCGTATATAGGACTGCTATAACATGTAGATGTGCACCTCGTATTTTGGTTGCAATCGGCCGCACTAAACGTATATGAATATATTTATATATATATCCACTCTGTTACTCGGCTCAGGTGATCTCAGTTTCTTTATACTCTTACATGTTTGTAAATTTGTGCATTTTTTGCTTTAAAAGTGATTGGAATTCTGTTGTTCTTATCTTTCCGGTTAAGGTTTTTTATGCCTTTAGTAAATCTGTCTGCAATATTAGTAGAATTATTCGACATATTATTAAAAGTTGTTTAAAGTGCAGCTAAGCCTAATTATTTTTTTTTTTGATGGCAGCTATGATTTGTTTGCATTTAAAACTTAGCAGAATAGTGGATTTGTTGCCAATCTACAGATACTTAGCTTCGCAACAACAAAGATAACGCCTTCATTTATTATTGCCAATTAAGTCATGCTTAATCCTTTCTGGAATTTTTTCGAGGAAATAAGTGTTGAAGATTTACTTCGTAATTCTTAATACAGATATTTTGAGTTTTTACGTATTTTTGCCTTGTCGCGAAGTGAGAACTGAATTAATTCAATGAGAAGTACTCAATCGTCTGTGAAAAACTGTTTCTTTTTTGTTTTGTTTGCTTAATTTATTTTACACATCGTTCAAGATTTATTATAGTATTTGAATAGAACGTGTGGCAACGATTAGATAATTCTATTCTTTAAATGATATAAATTTTGGGCATTACTGAGTTATAATATGAACGAA